CAGTCACATACCCTGTGCCAGGGCATGGAGTCACACCTACCTGAATTTTCATGACTGGCCCTGCTTTGGGAAACACACTGTACTCTTTACCTTTCTGCGACTCAGCCAGTCCTTAAATACTAGGCTAATCACTGTGACAGACTTACAACTCCTGCAGTCGAGAAACACTGAGACAAATCCAGGAGCCAAGGGCCAGCAGGGTGAGGGCAGTGTGTAGAGGTGGACATCGGCAGACGAAAGGAGAAAAAGCAAGTCACTCCGAGAAAGACCTTTCTTGGGGGCTGTGGTGTGGGTGTGATTTGTCCCCCAAAGAGTCTTGTGCTGGAGTTCCCCTTCATTGCAGCCATGTGTAAAGTGGGAACCTTCAAGAGGTGGAGCTTAGTGCCAGGTAGCCGGGGCACTGAGTGCACTGTCTTTGGAAGGGATTAATGTTCTCACAGTGGCCATTTGGCTCCCATGAGACTGGGTTGTTCTACAAGATCAAGTGGAACGCCTGACCTGTCTCTGCCCTCTCTCACCATGTGATCTCTCCCTCTCACAGTCCCACCCTGGTGCCAGTACTATGAAGCCCTCATCAGAGACCAAACAGAGCCATCTGACCTTGGACTTTTGGCTTCTACAACTGTGAACTAAAAACTAAACTTTTTTCCCTGTGAATTAAACCCTGGGCCTTCCTGCTGAACTGTATCTCCAGCCCCCCCCCCTTTTCTTTTAGACAGAGACTCACTGTTACTAAATTGCCCAGACCGAGCTAACAATCCTCTTGCCTTAGCCTCCAAGGGCACTAGGACTATAGGTGGTGCAACGCCATACCCAGCTATCTCTTTTCCTTATAAAGTACCCAGTTATAGGTATTTTGCTATATCAACAGAAAATGGACTAATACAGTGGAAAAAGATGTGAATGCTCCTTCACCAGTACTTGCTCCCTCAAGAAAGATGGTGGACTTGCTAACTGTCTCTAAGGAACCTCTCTGGCCTCCACGTGCAAGGTGGGCCCAGGAGCTGTTAGATGCAGGCTGTGAGCACAGAACAAATAGTGGCTCTGGGCAGGCTGGCAGTGGTAGAGAGGGGAGGAGCAGCAGAGATGGTTACACTGTGGAAGGGAACCTGGCAGGCTCAGCAGTGGCAGCCTGGGCAATAGCACACGCAGCAGATCCCTGAGGGGGATGATGGAGTGGGGGCAGGTAAGCAGAGCCCTTCTGCTAGGGGCAGAGCATAGGCCTTGGCAAAGCATCCCTCGCTGTGCTGTCCCTGCCTCAGCAGCCAAGAGGGCTGCACCAGCCTCAGCTCAAGGGACTTGCACATTTCTCCATGGATAGAGAAGGGCGGAAGGAAAAAGAGGCAAAGTCGGCCTAGGAAGCCAAGGCCTGGTTCCAGGTGCTTGTGCTTCCCGAGGATGCTCTGTCCCTGGTCACTGATGCTTCCTCCTAGAAGCCAGGGTGACCCCAGAGCTGTCAGATGACTGGGATAAAGCTCCACTGTACCCAGCATGGCCCAAAAGGGCTAGCTGAAGGCTCAAGTCATTAGTGGATATGTGACCCTCAGTCTATGGAACTTGGTGACAAAGTTATAGTCTCTGGAATTAATTTAAGACTCACTCCCAGCTCCAAAGCTAGCTGTTGAACTTACAGGCAGTGTCTTTACTGCTCAGCTTCTCTGAGTGTCTGTCCTCTGTGCCTGCACAGCAAGCCCAGTGCTTGCCTGCTCTTCCTGGACCTTGGTATCATCTGGTGCATGTCGCTCCAGCACCCCATTGCAGACACATGGGGAGATCTACAGAAGGCACAGAGTCTATACCGTGAGGAAAGCGCCCACAGGACCTGGAGGGGAGCCCCAGGCTCTCGGGTCCCATCTCCCTCCCTTTCTGCACACAGTGCATCTGGTGGTCCACAGATACAGGGTGGTGGAGCCAGAAGATTTGTCTGTCCAGCATCTGTCTGCTCAAGTCCTTGCTCATCAAGCACTAACTGTGGGCTTTGTGATGACACACAGTACATGCCGCAGGTTTCACTATGATGGCCACTTCAGGTGGGGCCCCTTCAGTCCAGCAGCTCCAAAACAACAATGCTAGCCTTAAGGTCTAAAAATCCATGTGGCTTCTTCCCAGCAGCTATTGGAGGAGATTCTTAACCAACATCAGAGGGTAAACACAGGATGAGGAGGAACCAGGGGCAAGGGAGGCCTGCTGCCCTGGAGTCTGCTGGAGCCAGGCAGGAGCCAGGGATTTAGCTGCTCTGGAACCCACGGAGGGATGTACATGGCTGAGGCTTTGTACTTGGGAAGGTTTTGTTCCCATCACAGCAACAAAGCATAGTTCTCTACCGCCCAGACACTGCAGCCCATGCAGACAGAGGCTGTGCATCCCTGATGTTCTACGCAGACACAGATCCATGACACAGGAGGGGCCCAGACTGAGGGAGCCCAGGGAGCTCACAAGCTCTGGGAAAGCAGGCCCAGCTCAGGGATGAGACCAGGCTCTGTGTCTCACTCCATCCCATCCCTCACACTGACTTCTGCAACTCCCAAGAATAGGAACTCAAGCTGGGCATAGTAGTGCATGCTTGTTATCTCAGCACTTGAGAGGCTGAAGCAGAAGGATCTCTGGAAGTTTGAGGCCAGTGAGGGCTACATGACTAGACTGAACTACACAGAAAGATCTTGTCTAAAAAAAAGAAGAGGAAAAAAAAAAAAAAAGGAATGGGAACCCAAATCTTGGAAAGGCCTGTTGTTTGAGAAAGAAACTCAGGGCCAAAGGCAAGATGGACAGAACTCAGTGTGCATTTCCTCCGGCAGAGTAACATCCAAGCTAGTCCCAAGGGCTTTTCCTACTGAAAGGGCTTCTTACAGGAAGGGTCCTGAAGGATCCCTAACAGCTTTCCCACTCTACAAAGCAACCTCTTTCTTGCTGGTCTCTCATTCAGCTCCAGTGAACAGCCTCCAGATGCCCTTCCTGCCTAGATAAAGTCATCAATGTCTTCTCTCTAGGTAGAGATTGCTCCTCACAAGGGGTGAATGATGGGAAAAGCTCACCATTCCAGGGCCAGCGTCCAGGAGTCCTCCCTGACAGGAGCACATTCCTAGCATTTTAAGGTGTACCTTGATCAGCCAGTTTGAATTCTCACACTTGAGTACATCACTTCTTCTACCAGAAGACTTTCTCCTATTCATAATTTCCTATCAGGTGGAATTTTCCTTATCATTGTTGAGAAGTAAATCACATTTCATCTGCTCAATGTCTGACTCATACTGATGGAAACATGTCTCTGGGGGAACCTTCTAGAAGGAATCCTGAGTGACAGCCCAGATTCCAGAAGCCACAGCTCAGATACTGCTGCCCATGAAAGGAAGCCCTTGCCTCTAATGTCTCCCCGGAATTGAAGAGAAAGTACAGAAACAAATCCACCAACTGACAGCCATCTAATTTTTGAAAAAAAAAAAAAAGGCCAAAAATATACGCTAGAAAAAACATAGCCTCCTTAACAAGTACTGCTGGGAAAACTGGATATCCATATGCAGAACATTGAAATTAGATCCATATCTTTCACCATGCCCTAAAATCAAATTGAAATGGCTCAAAGAGCTACATATAAACTTTGAAACTGCTGAAAGGAAACATAGGAGAGACACTTGAAGACAAAGACTTCCTGAACAGGACCCCAGTAGCAGAGAAAATAATAGTGAAAATCAACAAACAAGAACTACATTAAATTAAAAACCTGCACAACAAAGGAAACAACACTGAAGAGACAACCTACTGAATGAGCAAATATGCCAGTTACCCTTCTGATACAGAATACCTAAAATGTATTTTTTAAAACTCAAAAAAAAAAAAAATTAACTCTGAGAAAAACAATCAGTAAAGGGGCAAATGACCTAAATAGACACCTCAAAAAAGAAGCAAAAAAGGCCAATAAGTAGATACAAATACATTAAGCATCTTCAGCCATTACAGAAATACAAATCAAAACTACATTGAGATGCCTTCTCACCCATTCAGGATGGCTATACTCAAGAGTACAAGACAGCCAGATGCGGTAGCAAATGCCTGTAATGTCAGCTGTGTGAGAGACAGAAGCAAGAGGAGTCTGTTCAGGCAACTTATTAAGGTCCTTTTTCTAAATTAACAGGCTGAGGGTGTAGTTCAGTAAAAAAAAAAAAAAAAAAAAAAGATCCTCACTTCAATCCCAAGTATCACCAAAACCAAACAATGCCAGCAAGGATACAGAGGTAAAGGAACTCTCCTACAGTGTTGGTGGTGATATAAACTAATACAATCACTATGGAAATCAAAATAAAGATCTTCAGAAAACTAAAAGTACAAATACCCTTTGATCCAGCAATGTCACTCCTTGGTATATTCCCAGAAGAATTAAAGACAGCACGCTACATTGACACACACATACTCATTTTACTGCTCTACAATTCTCCAGGTTAAGGTCAATATTAAAAAAATCCTACAAATAATTTTTTATAAATAATTATATATTGCCTGGCAAGCACAAGGGCCTGAGTTCAATCCCCAGTTCCCCCCCAATATCTATCTATCTATCTATATATATATATATATATATTCCATCTCCTTTTTCCTTTATATATAAGAATAAAGCAAATTATATATATATGAATATTACTTAGCCATAAAGAAGAACAAATTATGTCATTTTCAGGAAAATGAAACTAGAGACCACCATTTAAGCAAAATAAGCCAGAAAGAAAATAAGACAGAGAAAATCAAATTATCACATGTAAGATAAGGGAGAATGACAGGAAACTATAGGCTTTAAAGATGAACAAAGATTAAAGTGGAGGGAGGAAAAGGAACTGAAAATAATCAAAATGTGTTACATGCAGGTAGCAAAATATCAAAGCCAACTTCACTGTTCTGTACTACTAATGTACACTAGCAGAAACCAGCATGTGGTTCTGGTGCTGTATTTGTAGCACACAGACTCCTCAACTTCTCTGAAGTAGGGGCCAAAGTAATTCCAAGGGTCTCACCATGTGCATGTTCTTCAATGATGGGTTTTCCAAACTCTCCTGAAGAGAAGCCAGCTCTTTGGCGTTGAGTTGGGATTCCAAATCTAAAATGAATTAGAGCAATTAACTGCTTCCAGTTGCCCCACCCCCAGGAGTGCTGAGCCAGCGACCAAGTCCAGGAGTGAGGAGGCTGAAAACAGGAGCATCACTAAGAGTCTGAGCTGCGCAGTGAGACCTTGTACCAAATATACACATACATACACACATACAGACATACAGCCATTCCTATACATGCATCCATGGGAGATAGGCTCCAGGTCCCCCCTCAGATACCAAAACCCACAAATGTCCAAATTCTTTATACAAAGAGCATACTATTTGTACAGAGCCTCTGTATAGAGGAGATAGCTCAGTAGAATAAGTGCTTGCCTGGCAAGTGCAGGGTCCTGAGTTCAATCCCCAGTTCTGAAAAAAAAAAAAAAAGAACCTCCATACATCCTCCTTATAGACTCTAAATCATCTCCACATGATTTATAGTAACAGTGTACATGAGATGCAAGCAGCTGTTATATGCTATTGTTTAGGGAATAAAGCCCAAGAACATGAACAAGGACCTTACATGTTCAGTAATTTTTTTCCAAATATATTTTCAACTCATGGTTGGTTAAGTCTGTAGAACCTGTGGATACAGACAACCAACTATATTTTACATGTGTGTATGTACAGTGCATTTACACAGTCAAGTGTGTGTGTGTGTGTGTGTGTGTGTGTGTACAATTTCTTTTTACATTGACCTTAATCTTTGGAAGAGACTGAAAGAGAAGAAGACATCCACAAATAGGGCTCTGGGAGGAACTTAACAAAGAACAAGATACAAATGCAAAGAGACTCTCTAGCTAAAGATTTCATGAGGATTAATATGAAATTTCTAGAAAAAGGGATATTAGAGAGAAATGATGCAACTAGTCAAAGAACACACGTATATATGTTAAGTTCAAAGGGGAACTGGACAGAAACTGCAGGTGAGAACACAAATGTGGATCCACCATGGTAGGAATGTGAAGTAGTGCCCCTGATCTGTAAGGCTGTCTGACAGATCCCTGAAAAGTTCAAAAATAGACTGGCTATGTAACCCAGAAGTCCCATACCCCACAAAGACAAGGAAAAATCTGGTTGCACAAAATCTGGGGCAGACATGCTTACAGCAGGATTATTGGTAATAGTTATGCCATGAGTTGATGTGAGTTGAGTATGTCCCCAAGGTGCACACATTGGAGCTCTGGGCCTCTGTGCGGCAACACTGAGGTGGGAGAACTCTAAGAGGTGGGGCCTCATGGAAGGTAACTAGGGCATGGGGGCTCCACCCTCATGAGTAATGCTGTTTCCTGGGAATGAGTTCCCTCAAGACCAGGCTGTAGCAAGGCAAGGCCACCCTCTGTGCCACCCATTTCTGCACACAGCATTTTTTATTTGTGCTCCACCATGCAGCAAGGCAGCCAAGGAGGTTCTTAACAGGACGACCAGTGCCACTGTTGGAGCTCCCAGGCACCAGGACCATGAGGCAAACACTTTTCTTTATACAATACTCAGAATCAGGTATTTTGCTATACTAATATGAAATCTACTAAGACAAGGCAAAAAGTGGAAGCAATGGAATGTCCATCAACTGATGAGTGAATAAACAAAACCTGGCATTCCATACACTGGAAAGTGTTCTGTCTTAAAAAAGGACTGAAGCTCTGACTCATGCTCTGTCGCAGATGACACGCTAAGTGAAAGTAGACACATACCAAAAGCTATTTACTATACAGTATATTCCACTTATGTGAAATGTCCAGAACAGCAAGGCCAGAGATAAGAAGAGACGTTCCTCCTTGACATGGTCTTTGGCTGTGGGAAGGAGCAGCTGCTAATGGGGATAAGATTTCTTTTGGGTGATTTAAATGTTCTGAAATTAGGTAGAGGTAATAATAGTGGCATAGCTTTGTGAATATGCTAAAAGCTAATGAATAACACACTTTAAGAGGAGGAATTTTTTTTCTTCTTTTTTTTTTTTTTTTTTTTTGGTATTTTAGGGAAGGGTGTACAGGGTGTTCAGGGTCTCACTACTAGATCAGACTCGCAGTGATCCGCCTGTTTACAGCCTCCCAAGAGCTGGCATTACAGGCGCATGCCACCACGCCCAGTCTCAATTGCCATCTCAGCACACCCCAGGGGCGGGGGCAGCACAGCAGGCCCGGGGATCCAACCCCCTGCCCCTGCGCCTGCTTGCAGGAGCTTTAATCTGCTGAGCTATTTGGAAGGCCCTCTAAAAGGAAGAATGCTACAGTATGTGAATTATATAACAATTTTCTAAGAAATAAATTTTATGGAGACCAAAGTATGAGAGGAGAAGAGGGGAAAACAGGGGAGACATAGGGAGGGAGAAAAGCAGGAAGAGCACAGGGTAGGGAGAAAGAAGTGAAGACAAAAAAGGAGCTAAAGGAACTTGGGGAACTTCACAATTCAGGGCCTTTTCAGATGCTCCCAGAGTGAGAGCTCCCAGAACGTGCCCCTAACAAGCGGGGTCCTGACATCTGCAACCTGCCTGGTCCTCACCCACAGCTGGAGCCTGAAGAGTCCCTCCTTCTGCTGCCCTAGGCTCTGCATCTGGCCCCAACCATGTGTCCAGACGAAGTCTGCACAGTGGGGTCCTTGTTCATGGAGGAAGAGCATGCGCTGAGGGCCAGAGTGCTTGCAGAGGGAAACAAGTACCCAGGCCCAATTTCAACATGGGCGGGGAAGCTGAGCCAGAGGGTAGCAAGGGGATCCTGCCCCACAGTTAAAAAACTCAACAGAGTTCTTTCACAAGGATCCTGCCATGGCTGGAATATGGCTTGAGTGTGTGACCCAAAGGTGGGTGGGTGCCAGAAATGCAGTGTTGGGAGGCAGTGGAACCTTTAAGATGTGGGGACCAGTGTAAGGGGGTTAGCTCATGGCGGGGCTGTCCTTGGAAGAAATCAATGTGGCTCTCACAAGATTCGGGTTAGTGCCCCCAAGGACAGGCCTGGGCCCCACATAGCTCTGGGTCTGTTCTTACCATGTGATCTCACCTGCATGCAGTCCCACCACGGAGATGCCACCCACTACGAGGCCCTCACTAGAAGCAGAACATATCAGGCTGCCTGATCTTGGATCTTTCAAGCCTCCAAACTATAAGTTAACTAACTCTACCTCTCTTCTTTACAATGTACCTCACTTTGGGTATTGTGTTATAGTAGCAGAAAATGAACTACTAGTGATCCAAAACAAAAAAGGCCCCCTCTGTGCCAAAGGGGCTGAGGCTTTCTAACCTCTGAAGTCCAGAGTCAACCTCAGTGAGACCCATACAGGCCCTCACTTCAGAGAGCCTGAAGTCAACGCAATGGATGGGGCTTTGTGACTCTATGGAGGCAACGGACACAGCCAGAACCATAGTACTTTGTTGGCATGGCAGGCGGTTAAAGTTGTATATGGCCCACATATGCAGCAAGAGACTGCGGTGCCAGCCTTACCCATGCAGGCCAGGGTCCTGTGTTTGTCCAGGACCACAGGCTCCTCTGCACACCATCCAACAACGCCCACTTCTGGAGGAGCCCCACAGCCACATCTTCCAAGGTGGCAGAGTCCTAAAAAAGGAACACATGCTCTAGTTCAGCAAAGACCATCCCAACACTGGGAAGGACAGCTGGTCACCACTGGGAACACGAGACCCTGTGCAAAGATGAGCCAACAGGGAGCTCTTTACATCAGAGGACAGCAGATCAAGCCTACCCTCTGCTCTTTTAAACAGACTTATTTTTTGAACCAGGTGGAGCACACAACTGTAATCTCAGCTGCTACAGGAGGCAGGAGGAACACAAGAGCAACCTAGCCAACTTAGCAAGACTGCCTCAAAATAAAAATAAAAAGGGCTCAGTGGTGCACTTGCCTCAAGCCTCAGATCTAACCCCAACTACCAAAAACTAACGAATTTGTTTATTTATTTATTTATTTATTTATTTATTTTGTATTTTAGGGAAGGGTCTACATGGTGTTCAGGGTCTCACTACTAGATCGGACTCAAGTAATGATCCACCTGCTTACAGCCTCCCAAGAGCTGGGATTACAGGCGTACACCACCACGCCCAGTGTCCCCAAACTAATTTGAAATATTTTTGGCATACAGCCACATCCATTTGAAATCTTGGGAGCTGAGGAGATAGCTCAGTAGAACAAGCACTTGCCTAGCAAGCATAAGGTCCTGAGTTTAATCCCCGGTACCAGAAAAAAAAAAAAAAAAGATGAAATGCAAACATATCACCTATGGCTATTTCTTTTTTTTTAATTTTATTTATGTGTGTGTGTGTGTGTGTGTGTGTGTGTGTGTGTGGCCAGCTCAGCCCACCAGGGGGCGGGGCTGGCTGGCATGTGGTGCTGGGGGATTGAACCACGGTCCCTGTGCTTTGCTAAGCTTGTTCTAAGTAGGTACTTTAGACCACTGAGCCATCTCTCCAACCCCAACCTATGGCTATTTCTGTGCTTCAGTAGATACAGCGGTGATTACACCAGAGACTGCACAACCCACCAAGCTGGAAATGCTCACTTTCCACGTCTGCAGACATCCTAATGTGTAAGTTTTGGCTCTTTTCATAACTCTGCTAACGGTGCAGCTTAGGGCAATTTTCCTAAATTCCTTATATACAGCATCACCAATCTGGGCTTGACCTTTTAACTTTTGGGAAATCCCTAAGATCCTTCCCAAAACTTATATATACTACTTCCCCCTAATATGCAGAAGCTGCATTCTAATACAAGTCAGTACCAAACCTCACTCTCTAAACATCTCCTTGTGCTATTCGCACCCGTCCTCTGTTGATCTTGGGAGACTAAAACCACAGAAAGAAAAAAAAAAGATACAATATGTCCACTGTAAGCATCTAATAATCTTTTATATCTAGTAAAATAAAGGACTCCCACTGATTCTGAGAAACTTTTTTTTTAATTTAAAATTATTTATTTATTGTGTGTGTGTGTGTGTGTGTGTGTGTGTGTGGCCAGCTCAGCCCACCAGGGGGCGGGGCTGGCTGGCATGTGGTACTGGGGGGTTGAACCGCGGTCCCTGTGCTTTGCTTAGCTTAGTTTGTTCTAAGTAGGTGCTTTAGACCACTGAGCCATCTCACCAGCCCAAAATTTGTTTTCTTTTTTTTTTTGTGGCGGAACCAGGGATTGAACTCAGGCCCTTATGCTTGCCAGGGAAGCACTTATTCCACTGAGCCATCTCCCTGGCCCCGATTCTGAGAAACTTTAAAAAAATAACAAAACTTTTTTTTTTTCCCCACAAGGTCTCACTGTGCAGCTCAGACTCATAGCAATCCTTCTGTCTGGGCCTCCCCAGTGCTGGGATTACAGACATGCACCACCACACCTGGTTTCGGTGGCTGCTCAGTGCACCCAGGGTTCCAGGCTGGCCCAGCATGCAGTACCAGGGCTCAAACCCAGGTCCTTGCACTTGCGGGTGGCAGGCCAGTGCTTAGACTGCTGAGCTATCTCCCCAGCCCCCTGAGAAACGCTATGGCCTTTAAATTTTCAAATTCTCTAGAGCTGTGTTGTGCATCACTGTTCTCCATGAAAACAAGAACATTTTGCCTGTGCTTTCCCAAAAGGGAGCCGCCAGTAGATATGACTGCTGAGACTGAGAAACATGGCTAAGATGATAATTTTTTTTCTTCTATTTAATACAAGGGTCTACAGAGTCTCACTATACAGATCAGACTCTTAGTGATCCTCCTGTTTTCAGCCTCCCAAGAGCTGGGATTACAGGCACATACCACCACGCCCAGTCTCAATCACAGTCTCAGTGCACCCTGGAGGCAGGGCTGGCACAGCAGGCCTGGGGATCGAAGCCTGGCCCCTGAGTCTGCCTACACAGGTATTTTAATAAGCTGATTGACAGACTGAGTGTTTAATTTCATGGAACTCTAATAAATTTAAATTATAACTTTCAGCTACGGGTATTTTTATGAGGACTTGTAAGGATGGCAGGGATGGCCCTGGAGGAGTCCTGCTACAACGGCACCCTACTGAGGTCTGCAGTGGGACTCTCCTCTCAGAGCAGTTCCCTCTAGAAGTCACACAAAGACAGTTGTCCCCAAGGGCAGCAATGAGGAAGCTCCACACTCTTTTCCCCTTTCTTCCTTGGTTGGGGGAATAATCAAGAGAGAACAGAACCCCAAGTACATAGTTATCCACCCCAGACCCTAGGATCCTGATCCTCCCCACCTCCTTACCATGTCACAAGTGCCAGGATTCAAGGTGTCGGAAGATGTTCTCCCTGCAATACAAGAGACCAAGGTAGAAGAAGGGGTGAGGGTGAAGCAGCACCAGGGCAGGCTACTCCTTTCCTGCGAACCTCCAACATAACAGCCAAGCTAACAACTCCTATACAAAATTTACTTCAATATGCAACACAGTGAGCTCCAAGCAGCCTTTCAGACAACAGACCATGAAGAACGATCTCTATTGGCTCCTCTCACCTCATAACTACTTCTAACACCCTCTACTTTTCTTCCATTGCCCTTTTTGCGAGGGGGAGGTAATCTTATCTTGCTCACTCCAATTACAATATAAACCTGGTTAGTATAATATAAATCTGTGCCCACTTTTTCCAGAACATCATATCTAGACACGTGCCCAGTGCCTGATGAATGCTGAGTATTTTGCATACTCTAGGTTGACAAACCTTTTCTCCAAGAAACCAAATAAATGTCTTACCATTGAGGGGCTAGATGAGCTCTGTCACCTCTACTTAACTATATGGTAGTAGTGTAGAAACAGCCACAAACTACACATAAACAATGGCCTCCAATAAAACTGTATAAGCACAAACTTAACCAGATCTGGCTTATAGGCCGTCAACTGCTGGCCCCTGCTCACATGCTACACAAAATGCATCAGTCATCAAATTCTCTCAATTCTACCATCATGCACACACATCTCAAATATTCTAACTTTTCTGGTTTCACAATAATTAATCCCTATCTACCATCTTGCAAGTCCTGAATTTACTGAATCTCCTACATAGGCTCTGCATTCATTTTCATCCATCCTAAACTCTATGTTCAATCCAAGAGCAGTGTTTTGTTTAAATTCTGAAAGTAATCACATCACTCCTGTCCTTAAAAACTCTGACACAGGGGCTTCCCAATGACCTTACAGTACCGTGCAAAGTAGATGATGGCCTTCAGTGCCCTGCTCTCCTATCCAACCTAGCTCATTTTCTCTTATTTAACATCCCCTGTCTTTTCTCAGCTACTGGAATGCACCAGGCTCTATAATGCCTGAGGAACCGTGTGTGTGAAATGTTCCCTTAAGTCTCCTCTAAAACCCTACTGTATAGCCAAACCCCTTGGTTAGCTACCTACAACTCATCCTCTACGTTCAAACACTTGTCTCTTTTCAGATATTTTCCTTGACTTCTTCAAGTTACCCTGCTTTATAATCTCCTATCACCCTTGCCTCTACTGATTTAGAATCCCTCTTCCTTGCTAGAATAACCCTCCACAGGGCACTCTATGTACTTCAGCTACACTGTTTCCCCCTATTCCCAGCTCAGTTCATTGAAGGCACCCCAGTGAAAATGTGCTCAAAAACCAACAGTCCTCAAGAATAACTCATGATCTAGTAGTGAGACCCTGAACACCTGTAGACCCTTCCCTAAAATACAAAAAGAAAATTCAGTACACCAACTCTAGAAGGCATACACACACACACACACACACACACACACACACATTACAAAAACCAAACATAAGAGTGACTTAAAATGCCTACTCATCATCTAGCATAAATCACAACAGAATTCAGGTATCTCTTGGAAATAATACTACTCCTTTCTGAAAAGGCAAGGCAAGAATGCACCTCTTTTAAAAACAAAGATCTTGGGGGCTGGTGAGATAGTTCAGTGGTCTAAAAGCACCTGCTTAGGCAAGCTTAGGCAAGCATGCAGGGACCTCGGTTCAATCTCCAGCACCACATGCCATGCCAGCCCCACCCCCAGGGTAGGCTGAGCTGACCACAAAAAGAAAAAAATAAAGGAAACATTTAAAAAATAAATAAATAAAAAATAAAAACAAAGATCTCCTCAAAATTGAAATCTGATCTGTAATTTTCCTCCAGAGTTAACTCTGGCTCATACCTCAGTAGAAGTGAGCTTCTACCCATTATTAAAAACATTCCATTTATGATCAACTCAATTTCCATTTCTGGCACTATATCATCCTTTTCCTGGAATCCCGTAAGTTTTGAAGATTTGTGGTTCACGAGTTTGGAGTAAGAAATGGCGCTACAATGAAAAGAACTATGTATCATTTTTCATTTGTGGCCTGAGCAACAGCATTTCTTAAGATAACCTCGCACTATAATTGCAATTTTTAAAAAAGTGAAGTAAAAAATTGATGCATATGGCCAAAGGAAAAGTTACAAAATGAAAAGTTTGCTTAAATTCAAAAAAAGAAAGGAAAGAGAACAAAAGCGAAGCAAACAGATTTTAAGCATCACAAATTGTCTGCCACACAGGACGGGCAGATGGCTCAGTAGAATAGGCGCTTGCCTGGCAAGTGCAAGGGCCTGAGTTCTTTTTTTTTTTTTTTTCTGTGCTTCCTAAAAAGGGGCCTGAGTTCAATACCTGATTCCGAAAAAAAAAAAAAATTGTCTGCCACAAAAATAAAAAATTGATATAGTGTACGGTATCATCTAGTTCATCCTTTTAATTTTTAAAATTTGACAAACCACTCAATCAATTTGCGTATGTAGACACTGTCCTAACTTTCAAGCTGCTAAACAAGGTAATGAATGCTATTAAATAGCACATGCAATAAAACGGTAATTCTAATACACAGTCGTCTCGCCTGAGAGGATTCAATGCCTCTGAGGCGCACCATTCCTGCACCTCTGGGAGCACAGGCGAGGACTTGGGCTCGGTGTCACACCATTCCATAGCTGGGGGGCCCCCGTCTGGAATTCGGCCTTCCCTTCAGACAGGATGGCAGCGCCGTCTAACCCAACTGCAAAGCCGACCTGCGCGGGGCGCACCAGGAGACCAGGATGACCTCGGGGAAGCAGCACCTCGGCCAAGGTCTGAGTCGTCCTCTGACAGGCACTCCCCGCCCCCACCCCACCCCCACCCCCCCATCGAGGTGAAACACTCCCACTGCCAGGCGCAAAACTCCCGCGCGACCACAGCTCCCACCGTACCGCGCACTTCCGCTTCCGGCCTCGGGGGTCGCCGGGAGCGGAAGTAGCTCGGACGAGGGCTCGCGGGTCAGGAGAGGGTTTTGTTCAGCGTTGGAAGGATCGACTCCCTTCTTTTGAAGGAGAAATTCTAGTTTCCCCTTTCAAGGGAGATGCCCAAACGGCCTGAAGAGTGGAGCTGCAGCTGGGCCTATGTCCTGTAGGCGGAATTTAGGCCCGGTGGGCGGGCATAGGGCGGAGTTTGTGCCCAGAACGGGGAGACCAGGCTACGCTGATGGGGAAGATTATTCTGGGAGCGGGGCTCGCTGGCAAGTGAGGAATGCTGAAGATTTAACTTTTCCCGACCCATGTCTTTGGGTTTTGTTCCATTGGCATAATTCAGCTCCCTGCAAAGGGAATAGCCTTTGTACATACCTATGCCTAAGGTGGACATAGGATTGTTTTTAGTCTAATTTGTATTAAAAATACGAGAATGTCTTATTCTGTAACTTTCTTATTAAAAATAAATTATACAGATCTATTCAAGATAATACATAGGTCCCACGTTTTTGTTTTGTTTTTTGAGACAGAGAATGTTATGTATCCCATCCCAGGCTGGCCTAGCACTGACCGCAGTCGTCCTGCAGCTTTCCTCCATCTCCACCCCCGTGTGAATTACAGGTGTGTGCCACCACGTCCAGATAAATGCATGCATAACAAAATGTGTTTGTTATGTAAATATGGACAATTCTTAGTCCATCCCTATATCCCCCCCACCCAGAAATATTTATTGTCCCCAGGTCACTGATAATCCGTTATCATGGATTATCTCATGGAAGACACTTGAGTGTTACACTGCCGATAAAAATTAAGGGTATGTTGTTTTAATGTCCCCAAAATAGAATCAAAAAAGCAGCAAACTCGTACTCATAGAGAATTTTTGGAAGTGGCTGGGTGTAGGATGTGTGAGTAGGAGTTAAAAGCTGTGTATAATTAGATTAGTATACTAGTTGGTTAGCATTTTTCTGGGATAATGAGAATCCCAGGGATATAGCTAAGCAGCACAGAGCCCGCCTGGTACAAAAAGAAAAGAAAAATAAAGGAATAATAAATGGGGCTGGGGATGTAGCTCAGTAGTACTTGCCTTGCATGTACAAGCTCCTGTATTCGGTGCCCAGCACACACACACACACAATGTGAGAATCCACCCTGCATTTAGGTGGCACTGTTCCCCACAACTACGCTAGTTTTTGCAGTTCTTTTGAATCCTTGATGATACCCATTCTTTCTGAGGTAAGATGGAATCTCAGAATTATTTTGATTTGCATCTCCCTGGTGGCCAAATATGCAGAATACTTTTTCGCACACCTATTAGCTATTCATATTTCTTTTGAGAGGGTCTATTTGCCTATTTTTTTATTGGGTCTTTTATCTTGGGAGCTCTATTTTTTAAAAACTTTTTATATATTCTAGATATTAGTCCTCTGAGAGCTAGCTAGGCAAAAATTGTTCCTATACTGTAGGTTGTCTCTGTTGGTGGTTCCTTTGCTGCAAGAAGCTTTTTCATTTGATTTAAAAAAAAAAACACCTTGATTTTTGGTATTGTTTCTTATGGACTTGATGTTCTATACAGAAGTCTTTACCTGTGCCTGTGTCTTCAATAGTATTACCTATTTTATCTTCAAGCAGATTCAGTGTTGCTGTTTTTATTTTTTTATTTTTATTTTTTTATGTGTGTGTGTGTGTGTGTGTGTGTGTGTGGCCAGCTCAGCCCACCAGGGGGCGGGGCTGGCTGGCATGTGGTGCTGGGGGATTGAAC